AAGGGTGGAAAGACAGGCTTGAGAGAGCAGGAGGGCAGGAGGGAAGGGAAGAGACTCAGAGGAATGGGGAAATGGCTTGGGATTGAGGGGAGGGGAGATCAAGTGAAAGGGCAGAAAAAGGAAGAAGCAGAGGGACAATGAAGTAGCATTAGGATTTTAGTTGTGGAAACATAAATGATATGAAATCATGTTATATGGGAAAAGTGGGAGAGTGGGACCAAAATAGTAAGGCTGAAATACATCGTCAAGTTTTATTTGTAAAAAGACAAATGAGTCACAACTGCTTCATCTTCCAATGTGGTACCCAGCAAACTATTCTCATATAGTAACTTGTCTAATATTGGGTAAATTTTCTCCATCTTTTAATCTATTCGTTTTATGTGTTAAATGAACTAATTACCAAAAAACTTTATGCCAATCGCTTCTTGGTCATTAACATGTTCACTCTACGGAGAAAGAACTTTTGCAATAAGGACAGCCTCAGTAGATAAGTAAATTTCTGGCTTATGGAAGTTAATGTATCACTGATCCATTCTTTTAAGCTGCGCTGAGAAGTATAGATTTCCATCCGTTCCGTTCTCTGCTCTTATGTTTCCTTAACTATGATCCTACTTTCAGATGAAATTTCATGATGCAGCTTGTCAAGGATTTACTTGTTGTGGATACACTAACACATTGGTCGCCCATTACATTGACAACGGTTAACTAGGGGAGATCTGCTTATGATATTGTGCATGTGCAATGAGGGTTTGAGTTGGGGAGGTCCTCTAGAAGATTTCTCTTGGGTGGTTTTTTAAACCTAACATGGCATGTAAATGTTCTAAAAAACTGAACTGTTGCAGGATATCTTTTCCAAAAACGAGGGGATCATTTGGAAGACTACCTATTTTGTGAAATTTAGATGTGTTGCTTGGCAAAAGACTAGTGTTTTATTGATCACATACTCTCTTGATGCTATATCCATGTTCTTGCCTGCATATATTGTCTCTGTTAACTCAAGGTTCATGATAATAAGTTCTTAGTCTCGCTTGTTCACCTGTTGTCATTTTGGATTTTTTATTGTCTTTCATTGTTGGTGCTTCAGGGTTTAGCAATTGGACTACCATCCGCGGATCATTGCATGCAAGAAATCAGGAAGTAAGCTATCGGTTTTAAGTGGGCAGATACTGCAAACAAGGTGAGATATGTTTCCCATGGTCACATTTTAGTTTAAGTTTGGATTTGGCTGGTTAATTTCTACTCCTTTTTTCTTGATGCAGGTTGTATAAGGCTCAAGAAACAAGAGGTACAGAGATGTTTAAACTTGTGTAACTGACGGTGAATCCTCTGTCCATTTTGAGAAGAAAATGAAGGTACTCGGACTGAATAAGTGAACATTGACATCTCATTCAGTGTTTTGGATTTCCAAGGTCAAAATACTTGTTTAGTGCAGCTATTGAGAGATTGAAGTGTGTACTTTATTGCATATGCTGAAAACCCGATAACCAGAGAGCCATGATTGCTTATTTTCAGGAGGTGAATGGTACAATTTGACTGCATCAAGCTGAATAAACCGCCTCCGAAATCATTTTATCTCCCATGCAAGCGGTCAATGACTGTTCATTACTCTTTTCCTTTCCATTTGCCATGAAGAGAGATAAGATGCTAAAATATGCCCTTATTTCTTCGTTTCTATGCTAACCTGCACCATGCAGGTCTATGCATTTGCTTAGTTCTCTTGCTTCGTCTTAAAATAGCAACATAATTATACCTGCGGCCTAGATTTACTTCTCAAAAGAGAAAAAAAATATTATTTTTCAAAATGATCGCTGGAAACTTACTAGATATCATGCAAGACATGCATTCTATTCACTTCAGATAAAAGCAAACTTAAATTCTCAAAGAAATGCCTGTTGCTTCAGTTACATCCAGTACAGAAAGATTACTGAAGTTATTACTTTTTGAGAAACTATCACATATTGCTTATTTTGTTCTTACTTCTTAAGTGGTGTTACCTCATATTTTACTTTTTAATACATTTTGAGGTGAAAACTCCTATCAACTTAAGTGGATAGGAAATAGTGATCCACCAAACTTTTTATCCATGGATCTCGCCTAGGGATCCTTGCATGATATGAAGAGACTTTTTATATTAATAAATAAGTGGCTAAAAAGTTTGGTGGATCACTATTTCCTATCCACTTAAGTTGATAGGAGTCTTGCTCTACATTTTGATGGATCTCTTATGGAAAAGAATTTTTCAGCTCCTAATTTCTGTTTACTTTGGCAGATCAAGTAAAGATGGAGAACCAGACACTACTCCAGCTTTTTGTGATGAATCAAGCAGCAGACATCCCAAGAAAGCTAGGTGTAGCTAGCAGAGAAGAGTGATTTTGACCTAAACAGCATCTATGATTCTAATTTATGGGGAGGAGACATGAGACCTCTCAAAAGAAGAGTTAAAAGACAAAGCAAGTTTGAGACTCTCTCTAATTTTTACATATTCCACATGGATTTACCTAACTCTAATTTGTATATTTCATTTATTCTGTTTATATTCTATATTGGTCATTAACTTTTCTGCTCCTGTTAGCAATAATATTATTTTCATTTTTGTAAGCATTTTAATTAGCCTGACATTTCCCCTCAGCTCCTTGATGCTTTCTAAAGCTTTTCTTTTTGTCTTACTTTTTTTTAGATTAATCCTTTAGCTGTACATATACCCATGTCTTGTTAGTGTCTAGTTCATCATTTAGCGCTTTCTTTGGTCACTGCCGTCTCATAATTTTTTGTTTCTCGGAATTAGTGTTAATCTTGAAATTTCTTTTTATAGTTTTATAGGAGGAAACACTATCGCTTGCATCTGAGACAAAGTCGGAAGTACTTGTATGCAGGAAGAGAAGTAAACATGAAGTTCTAACCCCTACCATAGTCCAAAGACTCAGATGGTAAATTTATCCAACAATTTCTTCAAGCTTATATGAATTATCACTATGGGGATCATCGCATCAGTGTCATAGATTCTCTTTTTTTGCTCCAAAATTTCATCATTGTACCTTTATTAACTATTTATGGAACACATCTGTTGTTTATTTCAAAAGAACCCTAAACCCTGGAGTTGAGAGCATCCTTAATTTGTTTTCTATGGTGGGCTTGTTTCAACTTGTTTAGTTGTAAGCAAGGCTATCTTGTTAGTTATTATTGTGTAGGAATGTGATGATTTTTGTCTCTTGCATCTATATGAGAATATATCTTTCCTATTTGTGCCAGAAAGTCTAGAGTTTGATTCCATTATATACTTTTGCTTCTTAATAAGATTGAGATCCCTTGCACTTTTTTTTTTGTAGCATACATTCTTTTGTGCTGATTCATGATGAACTTTTGTAGTGTCAAGTGGCAACATAATTATTTCTTGAATCTGATTCTGGTGGTCTACGCCAGTAAGCTGCTCATTGTCTCTGCTCTTTCTCATCTCTATGTTTGTTTTCTTATGTTCTGTCGTCACTTAAATTCCTTGTATATACATTTTGTTGACTTTGCTCTACACTTAGTGTGTAGGTTTTGTTTTCTAGAGTTCTAACTACACCACATACTATGCTAAGCAGGGAACCATTGGAGCAAGCACCAAAACACATTCAGCTAGTGCTGTTGGTCGAGACAAAAGGTTAGCAGACACAACGACCACTTTTTCTGATTTTAATAGATTGAGATTTGTTAAGAAAGAGAACACAAGCATTTGACCTTCCAACAGAACAACCCTGTGCATAATGTCACTTCCATCACAACAACCTCTTCACAATCTCCTTACCATTTAAACAACAGGGCCCATCAAATATCCCACTACCAATCTTAAAGTTGTTGTTTGCCTTAGTTCATTATTCTGTTTGCACTGATATTATAAATTTAATATCATTGTTCGCACTTATTGTTTGGGTTGGTTTTATACATTGTTTGGGTTAATTTAAAATTATTAAAGGAACATGTATCACTTTCTCCTTTCTCCCTCTATAATTTTCTATACAGATCCTCTATCGGAATTTCTTTCCCCTGTACTTGAGTCCAACTGTGTCTGCGCTCTTCCAAAATATCAGCAAGCCTCTGCAATTTCGTGAAACATGCCCCTCGAATCTTATAGGACTCAAAATCTCAAAGACTCTTGATATGCAACAAGAATCACTACAGAGACCCGTACCAAATCTCAGCCAGGCCTCATCTTATAGAGCATTGCTCTCTCAAATTCAACTAAGAAGGCAAACAATAGTGGAATAAGTCCAATAGAGAGTCCCTTTATAATATCATATAGGAGGAAGGAAAACATATGTGTCCCAACACATATTTAAAGTTGATGATTGCACTGATACAATAACATTATTGCATTGATGCAATATTCTGATTGTACCGATCAATATTATGACTGAACTAATATTTTGATTGCATTGATATTGCATATTGATTGTATGATTTAGAATTAATAATAAAATAAGTGTCATGTTCTTGCTTATACCGTACATGAGTTTCTGTGGAGGAACCTCTGTAGGAATCCGGTGGGACCAGCGTGTCATGTTCTCATGAGTGTCATAAATCCGGTGGGACCAGCGTGTGAGGCTATGAAGGTGCACACTGGCCCCATGGCGAGCGGAGAAAAAAAAAAATCTAGTGCATGGCACTCTCATCACATGAGTACCATGAGTCATTGGGATGCACATGAAGCTTTTGCTTTGCCCCTTGGTGTTTCCTTACTAGGGGAAACTGTTGCACCATTGAACTAACTGTGTTGAATTATTAATGACAAAAATAAGCCATCGCTTTCACTTGTGATTGTGTGACCTATTTCTTCTCCCCTTTCTACTCCCTTGTGTCTCTTTTGTGCTTCCTTCTCACCTACTTTCCTCCAATTTCAACTCAAGTTGCAACGTCTCTTGAGGTTTTAACTTGTTTTCAATAGTGGTGGGTAGTCGATTTTTCTTTTGAAGTTTAGCACATCGAGTACTCATGGAAGAATTAAATTGCATGTTTAATATGAAAATGATCAGACAAAAATCAACTTGTTTTCAATAGTGGTTGGTAGTTCATTTTTCTTTTGAAGCTTAGTTGATTTTTCTTTTGAAAACTGCTTGGCTCTTTTGCTTCTCACAGTTTCCTCCTTCTATTGGATGGAAAAAAGAATAGTCCAAGATGATTGATAACATACATTTTGTTTCCATGAGGTTTATTAAAAAATGATAAAAGATAAAAATATCTTCTAAGATTGAGCATCGTGAGTAATTATGAAAAAATAAATTTTATCCACTAAAATGACAGGCACTTGTAGCGTCGGTAGGGCACTTGCTTATCTTGGAAAAGGATATAGGTTTGAGACTGGGTTACTAATGTATATAGAGAAAATGTTTTTCCAACTTTTTACATCAAAAAAATTGCATTATTGTCACTATTTTATTTCATTATCAGGGAGGACTAGAGAATAATCATTGTCTATGTTTTATACCCATTTTGGGTGGGTGAATATTTCTTTTACCATCCGAAAATTCTAACAGTAAAATGATTTTGTCTCAACATCCTTGAGGGCCAAGTCAAATTACAATATTAAATGACCCAAAAAATGCTCATCTTGGAAAAGGATATAGATTCAAGACTAGTTACTAACATATTTAAGGAAAATGTTTTTCACCTTTTTACATCAAAAAATAGAAATAACTAAAATGTTTTGCATTTATCTCATCACCATTTCATTACATTTTTGGGGAGGACCGGAGAATGGTCAGCGTCTATCTTGTGTACCCATTTTTGGTGGGTAAGTATTACTTTTACCACCAGAAAATACCAGCAGTAAAGTGGTTTACTAGGGTTAAATCAAATAACAAAATCTAATAACCACAAAAATGCTAATCTTGTAAAAGAATATAGGTTCAGGGCTAGCTACTAATACATTTAGAGAAAATGTTATCACCTTTTTTACTTCAAGAAAATGGAGGTAACTAAAATGCTTTGCATTATTGTCACTATTTCATTACTTTACTGGGAGGATAAGGGAATGGTCATTGTCTATGTTGTCTACCCATCTTGATTATGGTGGCTAATATTACTTTTACCTTCAGAAAACACCAACAGTAAAAGTGTTTTTTGTCTCAGAATCCTTGTGGGGTTACATCAGATAAAAAAATCTTTAATAAATTTTGCTTACTAGCAGTTCACATTTCTCCCCCCCCCTCTGTTTTTGCACTAAACAGTCAATTCTAACCAAGCCCCTTTTATATGCTAGAAAGGGAAAGAGGAGAGAGAAGCAAATGCGTGTCTTTTTCTTGATAGATAGCTCGCATTCTTCCTATCAACGTTGCTGTTTGATTGCAACCTTTGCTGGCCTTGAGAGGCATTGGAAACTAAATGAGAGCACGAGTCTCTTTCTTCTTCTCTACTCATTTGTTTGTAAATTTTGAAAATTTACATTACGTTACTGAATCCATGCACAAGCTTTGAAAAATCCAAAGTACTAGGAAAGAAGCATCCTAGGGAAAAGTGACATGTGAATGTGGGTCCATTGTGTTACCCCATTGAGGGAAGTGAAGCTAAAATGTAGGAAAAAGATTTTTGGCTCGCGCTTTAACGCGCGAGCCAACTCGCTCGTGAAACAGGGGTGGTCCCCACTGTGTCAGTGGGGACCACCCCCTGTTTCATGTGCGAGTTGGCTCGGGCGTTAAAGCGCGAGCCAAAAAGCACGGTTGTAAAATGTATGAGAGAGAGAGGGAGAGAGAGAGGGAGAGAGAGAGAGAGATTATGGGCACAGCTGTACACAAGTATGCACTTGTATTTGGAGAAACTTTGGTTATCTCATGCACCAATCATAGATTCTTTTGATAGTTTAATTGGTATACTTCAAGCAATAATAAATTAGTTACCAAAGGCGAGGGTGATGAGTATTGTGGTCTTGAGTTTCTTCGGGTTAAGTATTAACATGATAGCGATTAATTGTCAATGTGACTTTGATGTTTTGATGCGAAAATAGATTTTAATGTGGTAGCATATCGATTCAAATCAAGTCCCATTGACGGACTTAAAAATAAAAAGATCCTGCTGTGTGAATCCAATGTTCGATGCACGAAATTCACACTTAAATTCATGTCAGAAGTTTGATATGCGGGGTGGAATTTTCATTATTTTCCTTCAAGTTAATTAGGATTTAGGTACAGGGATACCATCAGAAGGATGAATGTCATGGATGAATTTCATAACATCATGATTTTAACAGAGTACGGAAATTTTCCTTGCTACGACGGACTACATCCCCTGCAAAAAATATAGTTTGGTCCTTGGTGTCATGCTCTAAATAAGTGCTCCAAATTGTCCATTTTCTAAAGTAGAAGAGCCTAAATCTCACCCCCCCCCCCCCCCCACCCCACCCCCCACCCCCCCACCCCACCCCAACCCAACACACACACACACAAAAACCGCCACCCTCCTCCTCCTCTTTTATTTATTTATTTTGGTGGACTGTGGGTATATTCCCTGGGCATGTGGTTCTAGGATTTGGAACCACTTTGAAAGCAAACTACCACAAAATTACTTTTTTTTGATATTTGGAATCTAGCAACCTAAGCTCCCAGTGAGAAAATATCTAGAAAGGTGAGGGACGTCATTTTTGTTTTATTTTTTTATGGTATACGTCTCATGTAAAAGTGAAATTTTTTGGGAACATTGATAAGGTTATTTGATGTTTGATTGAAAACTCGACACACTATTTCCTTTGGTTTTGTGTGATCCAAAATCTTGGTTGCTTGTCATTTTGCACATTGAGAAGGAGAGTTTGCTTTGCTGTTCATGGTTAGCTTTTTTTTTTAAAATTAAATATTCTATGTGAGCTTTTGTTTTTGCATCCATTCAATCGGGTTTGCATAAGTTTTTCAAATATACATTTTCAAAATCTTAATAAAAGATCTCTTTTTTTTTCTCTTAAGGTTACACGCTATAAAAATTATTAATAAATCAAATATCATAAGCTTTATTGAATTCTAATTAATTTTCTCATAAAACCACTGACGTATCATGAACTTGACGCTGGTGTTAGGTAACTACTACAATCAAAAATAGCACGTAGTTTTTTTTGCCGGCGTATGTTGCTTTTTACTAATTTTAAAAGTTTACGGGAGTTTTAATAAAAATAATTCATGATATATATATTAAAATAATTAATAGTATACTTATATAATATTATAAATTTTATGCAAACTAAGGATGAATCTTATACGTTATTGCCGTGTCATCACCTATACTTTGAAGCAACAGAGAGTTGGCCACGCCTGCTGAGAGGGAATTTTTTTTCGTGGGGGGGAAATATAAAAGGTTGACGATAAAATGCGCCGCGAAGATCACTTTCTTGACGAGGCCTTGTCCTCCTCTGTTGGGCTCATCGTCCATCGCCGCACTCCGTAGATGAGGGCTACTTCGGCTTTTGCTTTAGTGGTCCCTGACGGTGCGTGGTCACATGAAGCATGTAATAAATTTTTACATGCTAAAGTTTGTATATTTACTAATTAAATTGCGAACCCACCTCAAAAGTTCTACACCATGAATCTGTTTTTAGCCAGGAGCGGACCTAATTAGTTACAAGTTAGGGGTTTTGTTCCACCCCTAACAATTTGGAAATTGCATGTTTACTTTTTCCCCCCCTCGACTTGCAATCCGCCCCTCCTAGTTTTAGAACATTTGCACCCCTTAGCAACCCACTTGAATTTACCCTATTTAAGTAACTTATTAGTGAAATTCTCAATTTTGTTTGACTATAGGCAAAATATGATGCGTTAAGCCAATAAAAGCGTATTAAATTGCATCTCTCTATTAGGTGTTATGATTTTATAATAATATATTTTTATTTTTAGATAAATAGGAACTTGTTGTTTGTCCCTTCAAGAAATTTTTTCTGGATCCGCCACTGTGTTTAGCCATCTTACGGAGACTTTGCGAATTAGTTGTAGCTCAAAATAGAATTTCTATAATACACTATACTCAAGTAACTACGAGTATATATTCGTTAAGCGAAAAGGGTAAAAGAAAACTAAGTACTCTAGTTTTGTTAGACTGATTAAAAGTATAATGTAATTAGCCAAGACATTAGAAACTGCTAAAAAAAATTGTATATTAATGTAGATCCTGGTGATTGATTTGTCTTCTTGAAATGTTTTTTTTTATAGTCCATGAATCTGAGAGTCATGGAATTGAAATCATCTTCTTATGTCATTGACAAAATTTAGTTCACAGGTGTATCAAACCTAATTCGTGTCATGTAATGGAACAGTCATATGATAATGGAAAATAGAATTTACACAATCTATGAGTACTTCACCCTGAACAGAAATTCTTAGGATAAATTACACTTACCCATCTGTACTATTTTTACTAACAATTATTCTATTTATTGACATGAGCAGAAAAAAATTCCTGTCCTATTAAATACCACAGAAAACATCTATACTATTTTATGATTTAACAGCATATATACCTTCATTCTTTATTAATATTGCACATGCACTATCTAGATTTAAGAAGAAGAAAAAAAAATCTCCTTCCTCTCTTAGAATTGAAAAAACCCTCATTATTTTCTATCTTCCAGAAAACAAGCAGAAGAAGTGATTATACATTGCTCCAGATAATTATTGCTCCACTTAAAATCGTGCTTGAAAGACTACAAAAGCAATAAATAAGAACATGATATATTTTCCCATATTATGCAATTGGAAATGTTCAGTTTCGAAACAAAGGCAAGCATATGGACCATTTAAAGCATTTGGAGAAGGAACATGTGGGGGACCTATGTAAAGTAATTTAAGTTAACATTAGAGTATAAAAATATAACCATAAGAACTCACTTATACTTTGGAGTTTAGGTGTACTGATTGAGACTTTTATATGATATCAGAGCAATCCATGTTCAAATCCTATCAGCTACAAATTTAAAGCAGATTTTCTAAAAATTGATAGTACTATTACGTGAGTCAAGGTTTTGACCGATAAAACAGGCACTCAACCGGCAATGGCACATTAGAATATAAGAATATAACCACTAATTCTCACCAAAACTTTAGAGTTGTCGTGTCTGGTTGGGAATTTAAGAGTTAAACATTCTATTATCAAAAGAATATGAACAACATTGGTTATACATGTAAAATAATTACAAAATAAAACATATTTGTTACTTTAATTCACACTACATTTTAGGTCTATACCCCATAAATTTACCCTATATCTTCTTAATCAATGGTATTGCATCATTTTTGCATGCTACTTCTACATTTATGGGTTGTTTGGTTGGATGGAAATGGTACAAATGTAAATAAAGCAATCAGACTTGAAAGTACATTAATTGGTTTACAACTTTGTAATTATGAAAGATAAACAAAGTTGTATTTTGTAGGAAAAACTTGCAACAAATTCTATGACCAATTTGGTGGGAGGCAAAGCTATAGGCTTGAGAAAAAGGGAATTAAAAAATAAAAATAAGTCCACCTCATCACATCTTTTTAAATCCAAATTAAAAAATCATATACACCCAAGTTTCCTTATATGACAAAATTTTGTAGCTTTTGCCTAATTGTTTTCAACCAAATGCTAAAATTGCATTTAAAAATCCTACAATATAATTGCAGATATCCAAATATTGAATTTGAAGTCAATTTTTGCGATAAATGTTGCATGCAACATTTACTACTACATCATGGAGAAATCTACCCCTTACAATAAAGCCAAAAAAAAAAATAAAGGGTTAATTGGATCACTAGTCATTGTATTTATCTCATTATTAGACGTTCATACCTATATTTTAATTGCTTTGATGACTGGTCATGCAATTAAATATTAGTTGGATCGTTAAGCACCTGTAATATATTTTTTCCAATTAAGTTAATGAATTTTGCTGAGCTGATATAAAAAAGTCTTGATAATTTCACATAACAAATTTATTCCTATGCATAACACTTGATCACTCATGGAAATAAACTTTGTGATGTTTGTGGCATATTAGACAACTTGTATTGAATAATTGTATTGCATTTGACATTTTCTTCTTGAAAATATTAACTTGGGATAGATTGAGTAAAATGTATTACTTCAAAATTAATGAAAATATACAATTCAATTTGATGAAAAATGTTAGAAGTGACTAATGATCCAATTAGGATTTAATTACGTGACTGGTCATCTAAGTGATTAAAATGTATGTATGAACGTTCAATTATGAGACAAATATAGTGACCATCGTTCCAAATAACCCAAAATAAAGCAAAAAAAGAGAGTGTCTCACAATGAATTGATCAGGTTGAAATATACTCTTCGTCACCTGATCATTATACTATCATTATACTCTTGATGAATGAGTCGAAGCAGTGTGTGACACCTTGATTTAGAGAGCTATGTTAGTTCTCTTTGTTTCAAAACCGTTAGTCTTATCTCCTCTTTTCTTTCTTTTTTATAGTGAAGATGATCCAAATCCATAGGAAAATGGGCACATTATGGATCATTTCAGTAGGATGGGTCATGGCATCCTCCGAATTGACCCCGGACTCTCACGTCCCCTGTGTGAGCTACCACCTAACATCTCTCTCTCTCTCTCTCTCTCTCTCTCTCTCTTATATAAGTAACCCCTTTGCTCTTCTCCATTCCCATTCTTTAAACCTCAATCCATATCATGTAGAAATATCTAGAGGGAGAGCTATAGAGTGAGAGTCAAAGATATATACTCTAGCTAGAGATCTTGTTAGTACTCTTCCAAGTAGCTAATGGAGAATTCCAAAGGGATCGCATTGATCTAATGTATCTCCAACACTTGTGTGTTTGCTTTTTTACTTAGCAAGATCATGCGTTCCCTTCGGAGATTTCCATTTGTTGCTTCTTCTTCCTCTTCCTCTTCCTCTTCTTCTTCTTCTTTGGAGTTCTTTATAGAGGTATGTCAATTGATAAACCCTCTTCTTAACTTCGAATTGTTTAATTATGTGACAATTATTAGTTTTAACTGCATGGGTTGTGCGTGCCATTCTTAATTAGTTTTACTTTTATGGATTTCTAATGTTTTTGATGTGTTATGTAATTTAAGATCGAGAGGTGATTTTAATCCCTCTGCCCTCTTGTTGAGAGAAAAGCCAAAGGGTTGAGGATCTTGTGATTTGATGCTAGCTAGGCTTGCACTGGAGACCAATCAAGCTACTTTTTGGACTAGTTCTTTATTTGTAAGACACTGCCCGAGTAAAGTTAATTAATCTTGTCCCCCTCTCAAGGAAAATTTAACTTTTTTAATGGATGGAAATTTTGATCTTTAAATGTAAACAACAAATTTATTTATCCTAGCGTAAACAACATATAAAAATGCCCCTCTGTAACAATCATCTCATCCCTTGGATCCAACCTAAATCCTTCGTTTTTTTCTCAAATTTTCTTTTTCATTCCTCTCGCTTGCTTTCCTCTCCCTTCTCGATCGACTTTTGGCATTTTTCTTTTAGTATCTGTTATTTAATCTTTTCTTTGCAGTGATTTCAGGTTTCGAGGTGACAAGCTCGTGCAGCAGAAAATTTTATAATGAAGACGAGGATTGGAAATGTTACAAGTGTTAAGTTGTGGTTAACGATAATGCTAACTTTTTGAGGAGGATTTAGGGAACTTACTTAGGAGTTATCTCAAGATACTTAAGCTTTGAGGGACTAATATGAAAAAAAAACACCAACATAGTATTGGTAGGTTAAACAGTGAGGGAGTTTTTGAAAACGTTTTATTTGATTTCTTTCCAAATTCTTCATAATGTTATCCGCGAAAGCTATTGTTGAGGATAACATACAAGTAAATGGTTCTTTCAACTTTTTTTAAACATTTTGTATAAGTACGTCTCTATAAATGGAAGCTTTATAATTAAGCTTCGAAAGGTAGTGAAAAAAGAAAAATGGCTAGACATTATCAATAAGAATTGTGGTTGCTTATCTTCTATGGACAAAGAATAAACTTATCCATTGTTAAGATCAAAAGATTAATTCTACCAAAAAAAGATAATAAGATTAATAGACGAAGATATAAAAAGAAAAATATAGTAGAATAAGGGTCGGCCCCGAGGTTTGGGTTGCCCTAGCCCTAGCCCCGGCCCTGGGTTGCCCCATGACGACCTCCCCTCCATGACGACCTGCCCTCCTTCAACTCCTCCTCGTGGGTTGCCCCACGACGACCTCCCCTCCACGACGACCTCCCCTCCTTCAACTCCTCTCCCTATCTTCATGTGTATCTGAGGTTTGGTTGGCCCCCCCGACCCTAGGTTGCCCTAGCCTCGGGGCTTGGTGGGCTTACCCAGGGCCGGCCCTGAGTAGAATAGATGTAGCTGTTTAAAAGAAACAAAGAGAAACGTGAGACAATCATCAGTTCAAACGCATAGTTCGGCCTAAAAAATTATAGAAAAGTAAAATGTTTTTTTCTTCTCTCTTTCTAGAAACGGAGACAATCGTTGGTCCAAAGGTGACAAGTTCATATATGTACATCAAACTGGGAGTTTGGCCAAATGTTTACACTAATTCAAAGT